TAATGATATTCCGCAGACAAATCTACGGTTTATGTTACCTCATCTCTTTGCATGGTTACGGACTATGGACCTAAATTGAGCTTGAAATATTGTGTAACTGGCTTTAATTTTTTTGTAAAATACTTGGATATGATATAATGAACAATTTGCAATGAAAAAAGCAATTTTCGATGTTTTGTTGAATACACCACTCCTCCACCAAACATGTCATATAGACTGCTAGTTTTTTTTTTTATATACTACAACTATACTGAGCAAACCTTAGTTATAATTTCTAAGCATGAGTGCATAACTTGGCATGATCAATTTTTTGAACAAGGCCAGCACAATCGAACCCTTAGTCACAATGACTTGTAACTTGTAACAGTGCTTGGGTCTAACCCGTGGTGCAATTTTCAGGCACTTTCCAAAAGTGCTGCATGCTGGGATCGCCTCATTAGACTGAAAACATGGAGAAGTCACTTTCCTGATGAAATGACCACGGAGAGATTCAAGCCTGCATTTCACGGTCAGAAAGCAAACATTTTAACCACTCGACCACGTGCTCATTTGCATAATAAAACAAATAAAGACTCTATAAAAACAGCGTTCAATGTGAAATATAATAAAAATATATAAACAGTGTCTATGTAAGAAATATATATAGAATTGAGTCTCTGAACTTCTTGAAGACTGCTGTGTGACAAACCAAGGATTCAGATGAAACTTTAAATCACAGAAAAACAGCAATTTTTGAGTACAATTTTTTTTTTTTATATATTTCTTATAAAAAAAATATTCATTTTAGTTCTAGTTGCAGAAGGACACTACCAAAAAATTCTGATTTTTAACAGCTTTTCACATCATGCTTCTATCTATATCTATAATTCTCAAAATGTGCGTGTGTGTGTGTGTGATGAAATGTTGTTTATGTGTTTCCACAGTTTTCATCCGATTTTGATGAATTATTTTTTGTCTGATAGATAATTCTTCAATGCTGGTTTTGAGTCCAAATTGGCTGGCAAAAAATTACAACCTTGAAGGTGAAAAGTTAAAAAAACGGATTTTTTACACTTTGCGCACAAATCAAAGGCAAAATTTAATGTCTGTAAAAAACAGCGTACAATCAATTTAGAGAGTTGAAATCTAACACAAAAGATTATTAGAATTATAAAAAAAATTAAATTATAAATAAAAATTATCGTATATTATTGTTATGATGGTCCATAGAAGAGGTCTCCCCCTTGCAAGATTGAGAACACAAAAAAGGCCCTTTTCAGGGCCCCCCCACCTCATTGAAATTGTTAACTCCCCATTTGGGGATGTACCTCTCTTGCACCCAATTGTTGTTACTAATATTGATTTTCAGGTGGACTGACTTTAAACTTAAACTGCTACAATTGAATGGCAAAAATTCCCAGTCATGTAAGACCCAGTCAAAGATGGGTTATATTGCTAGTTTGGTCTAAAGACCTATTAATATACAATAAATATTAATATTCATTGTTACTGTTGTTTTTTATATCTTCAATTTCTTTCATTGGTCTACTAATAAAGTTTTTATATAATTGTTCAAACTTCCAGACTTGTCTTATGTCAGAATCAGAAATATTAAACTGGTCGAAAGTTCATTTTTATATATTTGAGTACTTTTGACTGCCACAACATTCATTATCAAGAATTGCAAGTTACCATCCTGTTTTCTCATAACATGTTTAGCAAATACTGGTATTTTAGTTTTGAATTAAAATTAAATATATATATATATATATATATATATATATATATATATATATAATGAGGATGAAAAAATATATAAATTCTAATGTTCACAGCATTAATTCAAAAGAGGGCTCAATACCTGGAGTAGAGCAATAATTATTTATATTTTTTCATATAGGCAAAAACAATTTACTCACTACAAATATGCAACTTCATTTCGGTGCATCTAGTTGCACCTCAACTGGTGATAGCCAAAATAGTAACCATTTTGGTTCTCACTAGTTGAAGTGCAACCAAATGCACCGAAACGAAGTTGTATCTTTGTAGTGAGTAAATTGTTTTTGGCTAGATGAAAAAAATTATTATATATATATAAATATATATATATATATATATATATATATATATATAGGGAAAAATGTATGGCAAAGTGGAAAAAGGAAGTTTCCATAATTAACTACTGTTCTTCTCATTTTGGGTTTTCTTTATAGTAATTGTGATGATGTAATCATTTTATGAGCTAGTTGATTTTTTTTCTCATTGTGTGTGTATATATGTACATGTCAAAAACTCAGCAGATTTTATTGATTTGTCGTGAGCCTTAAAATGAAGGTTTTTCTTGGGGGAGGAGTTTCATTTTGACTCCTAACAAAATGTTAACTAACTTCATTTTAAGCGACTGACTGTCACTTCCATCAAAGCACAGATGAATGATATCATGTGCTTGATGACCGTGAAATTTTTAGTTAGGCATTTGTCATGTTTTTAACAAGATCTAAAAAGCATAACATAGCGAACACACACACACACACATCCATTGATGAAGTAGAAGCCCTTATCAAATGCAAGATAAATAACACGAACAGAAAATGTCAAATATATATATATTATCAATATTATTATTTTTTTTTTATCTCAACTCCTTGAAGAGTGGATAGACAGATCTGGCTACAAAACTCTGGAGTTGAGATGTTGACAAATATATATATATATATATATATATACAAATATATATATATATATATATAACACAAAATATAAGTGAAATGGCTGGAAAAATTACTGTACCAAAAAAAAAAAAAAAAGAAAAAAAGAAAGACAGAAAAAAAAAGTGCTCAATACAGTGCTCAGACAATTAAAAATGCAAAGCAAGTTGATACAATAAAAAAGGTAAAACAGTATTTCCTACTGCACTGCCTTGGTTTCGACTGTGAGGTCTTGTCAGGTGGCTAGATGTAAAATATATATATATATATATATATATATATATATATATATATATATGATTAGCATATATTTTGGCAGCAACCTTTTTTTTAAACAAATTTCATTACATATGACAGACATGGAAAATTTTATTAATTTTTTTAATTAAATTTATCAAGTGTTCTTACATTTTTTCGTTTAGTGAGACTGAGCGAGTACAAAAACTGTCCATATCATCCATTGTCCCAAGCGCTTTCATCTACTTCCTTAGCCATTTTCAAGAGGGTTCATATTTTGACTGTTTGACATGTATTATTTGTATGGTTTTGAATTCAAGTAGGAGTTATTTATTCTGAGCATGTGTTGGGCATGGCTAGAATTTGAGTGAGCATCTTTCTTACAATGAGCTGTTTTCAATAATTTGACTTACATAAAACTCTCGTATTTTCGACCACTTATATATATATATATATATATATATATGAAAATTTCTCAGAGTTAACCTGTAGAAAAGACAATATTTATAAATATAAATGACAATAGGAAAACTGTTTTCCTATTGTCATTTATATATATATATATATATATATATATATATATATATATATATATACAGTTTTCCTATTGTCATTTATAAATATATATACATATATGCACAGAGTTTCCTATTGTCATTTTATATATATATATATATATACACACACAGTTTTCCTACTGTCATATATATATACATACACACAGTTTTCCTATTGGCATATATATATATATATATATATATATAGTTACACACACATATATATTATATATTTATATATATATATATATATATATATATATATATATATATATATACACACACAGTTTTCCTTTTGTCATATATATATATATATATATATATATATATATATATATATACATTTTCCACAGTTTAGATATATATTTATATATAGATATATATATATATATATATATATATATATATATATGTGTATATGCACACACACACAAAATTGTTTTCCAATAAGGTGTTAAATAAGTTCTAAATAAACTGTCCAAATTTCGTATTTAGTTATTTTTGTTCTGTACTTTTGACTATTGCAGTCATTATCAAGAATCAATGTGGTGTCTGTGTGGGAGTTAGACTTCCTTTGTCTGCATTCTGGTATTCTTTGGGAAGCTGGGAAGAATACCAGGATGCAGACAAAGGAAATCTAACTACCACATGGACACCACATTGATTCTTGATAATGACTGCGAAAGTAATTGAACAAAATATAAACTTTGGACAGTTTATCCACAACTTCAAACGAGAAGTACAAGAGAAGAAACTGTTAGCATAGAAGTTCTGATTACATCTAGCCATTTCAACTGTAAAATGATGAGACCTTGCTGCCAATCTAGTACTGCACTTAAATTCATGAAGTCTAAGTACCCTAGCAGAAAACTCATTGGAACAACTACCATAAAAGTATTTAGAGAAAAGGGACAGGGAAGTTATGGCAGTTAGAAAGAGACTAAAGCTGAATTACCATGTCAGAACCAATAACATTGCAGATTTTTTGGATTGTATCATGAATCTTTAAACACAGAGCAGGAGAACCAGATCAGAATTGGCAGTAATATTCAAAAGCAAGGACACATGGTAGACTTATAAATATGTAAGATAGATTCTGAAGTGAAAAATTGCCTAGTACGACACAGTGACCCAACTTTCTTAGCTGCAGATTTAGCAATTGATTCAATATACTCTTTCCATTTTATGTCAGCTAAAAATGTTAGTTCGAGAAGATGCAATGAGACTTGCTCATAGAGGTTAGCATCAACCATGCTGATGAAAGGTAAAAAGGGTTCTTTCAGATGATTAAAAGAGAGCAGTTTTGCTTCTGAGATGTTAAAATTAACAAGTGACTCCTTGCCCCATTTAACAACAGACTGTATGTATTTTTGAGATCCTATATATATTGCACAAATAAAACATGATCTGGGCAGAGATTATAGACTGTTTTAAATCTAGATAAAATGCTATCTTGAAACAGTAATTAAAAAAAAAAAGAAAAAGGAAAGAACATAGACATTTTTGACAAGGTACTTAC